TGTCTACACAGCAACTCTAATCCGACTAAAGGCGCAGAAGGGGAACAAATCAATACTTGGAGCCAAGATTCTGATTGTTGGATATGTATGGGGGTGCGACTACTCGTACTCACACTTTGGCCATGTCAATCTGGTGGGCTGTTAGGTTCGGACCAACGCTAAGTACTGTATGCAGTGTGTTGTGCGTGTTTTTCCTTTGCTATCTTTTCTTCTGTCTCTTTCTTTCTGTATTGTAAGACAACAACGAACATCTCTCTCCTCATCCGAAGTATGATACAACAAAATAGGGGTGCTTTTCTGGTTTCTACTGGCTGTTTACTATTCATCTACTTTTCTGTTCCCTTGCCTTTTTCCTTCCCCTTTTCCAGCCTTCTTTGAAGTTCTGGTTAAACTTGGTCCTGTCGTCGCATTTCTTATTCATCGCCCCTGTTATTCATTAAGTTAATATTCATTACAAGTTTTTACACACAGTGGTCGTTGTTGGCAGATAGGTAGGAGTAAGATGTGGAGCTGGAATAAACCTGTTCATATATTCGCAAGCAATTGGTCCACTATATCTCCTCTACCCATTTCTATCGATATCGCTATGTGATCACGAGCAAGTTCTTTTGCAGACTATCTACCGTCTTATAGTGTTGAGATTACTCTTCGATTGTACACCCCTACATTCTAGGTGCCCTCATGAAGTTTTCAAGACCATCGGTTTTCGGTAGACAACTCTAATTATACGAAAAAGGCCACAGCATCATTGCTTTCCCGACTTCCTTCTACAGCTGCGACACTGCTTTGCTCGCTTGCCCCTGCCGTCCGCCTGCGGCTCCGATGATTGTTGCCATGGCTAAGGATGGTGTTGTACATTATCGCACAAACCAGCACCATCACCGGCCTCCTCGGCTCTCCCATCCCCCACATCCGCCAGCCGGACTACAGACCATGACGGCCACTAAAGCCACTACTACTAAAGCTGTTGGGAATCCTTGAGTGCTGCTCGGTAAGCTCACGGGGTGATTTTCTTGTTTTGGAAAAAGGTCTCGAATTTCAGTGATCGAACAAGGATGTGGAGAAGTCAATTGCACTTCATCGAAGCTATGGAGGAGATGGGAGAACATGCTGCCACACTTGGGCATTGTGACTGGAAGGCTCTGGGGAGAGGGAGTTTTTCGCATTATATTTCTTGTTGGCAAGATGCGGAGAATGTTCTTTACTACTATCATGTGGGAGCCGCTAGAAGGGGGGACCATTCATGTAGAAGGTTGATAGGATGGAAATGATCACATCAGGTTCTAGATATACCCCATCCGCCATTACAGGTGGTGAAAATATGAAGACTAGGTTGCGAGCTACCTACACCCATTGCCATTCCGGAATGTATTTAATTGCATCTAAGAAGAAAACCGCACAGATTCCCTGGGAGGTGTACTTGTACGTATTGCCATCCTTGGGCACGATCAAGACAACGTTATATCAGCCCAGAGGGCAAGAATACCACGGGGGCAATAAGAATATATTACTACTAGTAAAAGCAAGCCAGCCCGCAACAAACGCAGTCCATTTCCCACACGGATCATAAAAAACTACCACTACCTGGTTAAGCCAATTCATAGTCTCCAGTGGTCTGTAAAAGTAAGCGTAAAGGGGTTGCGTATGTAATACCCCCTTCGCGGTTCTTGCCAATCAGCAATCCCGCAGCTTTATAGGTCCCACCCTGATTCTCGAAGACACAGCCTCCGGAGTCACCAACTCGAGCAAAGATGTCATTTTTCATGCCAACAATCGCGATTTCGTATGTGGGGGAGTCTCGGTCCCAGAAAACTAGCACTGCAGGATTGACCGTTCCAAATGTCGTCCCTGTGGTACGCCCAACCTTTTCAACTATAGCACCGGGGTATAAATCACCCACTTCAGAAACAGCTTCATCATGATAGATATTGCCGCCATATCTATACCATTCACAGTAAATTAGTAACGCATCTAGCAGAGCATAATATAATATCAGGACCAGGCCTACCGCTTAGGATTGCAAGTGAAAATGCAGTAATCAATCCTAGTCAACCAGGAGATGCGGGCCCCAAATCTCGCAAGTTGTCTCTGTCTGAGTTCCTGATCATACCTATGCAAGAGGTCACTGTGAACACCAAAATGGCAGTAGACAATTGACCCCAACCTTCCACCACTGAAGATACCAGTTTTGGCCTGAGTCGGGTCGGTGGGGTTGACGAAGGTTAAGCCGGTACTGGAGTCATGGAATCTAAACTCCTCTACTATTGCATGTGCTTCGTGATCTCTCGCAGCTATGATACGCAAGCGGTCGGCGGCGGTGCTAAGGCTCGTATATCTTAACAAGCGCTGGAACCTGCCTGTAACCTCATCAGTTGACGGGGAACAGACCGGATTTCCTGCTAGACCTGCTGGCACACATTGTGCTGCGGTTATGCCAAAAAATCTTTCAGGCACTGACGTTCGCTTCAGGAATCCTCCGAAGCTTCCCGCTTCTGAAGGACTACCTGTTACCTAGTTAGATATTTTATCCAAGTTGGAGGGAGCTTACTAACTTTCGAGACCCACAGAGCATGGTTGGAGGTCTAGTTGTTGTAGGTTCTTGATTGGATTTGGTGACCATGTGGTTTTATAGTCATTTACTGCAAGCATGCAATCATCCCGTACCAGCAACCTGAGGTTATTCGGTGGTTGTGGGAGGTCTGGCCTGACCAGGCTCAACCCCGGGATTCCCAATATAATCCGCGATCTCGGCGGTGTCAAACTCATAGGTTTGTGGAAGTGGCACTATCACAGGTCCTGCCATTCCACCATCCATTTTGACCCCCGCGGATTCCGGTTGATCGCAGGTTTGATATACGGAATCCGGATAATCACACTAGTTCCTGTTGCAATCACACTGAATTAGTGTTTGTCTATCTTTAATTTTCTTGAGATTAGGAATGTGGGTATTCTATGCATCACATACCACAAGTCCTCTATGACCTTGGGCGTGTTATCCCGGTTCACCACGAGAGGGTAGGAGGGGGGGAGAGGTAGGTTCTGATTTGTAAGAATAGTGAGCGTCAACAAATGAGTTAAAGAGAACTTCCTGAAAGCTACCTACGATAATGGGGGGAGAAGTAGAGGAGGTTGTGTTAAAGCGGGGCAAAGTGAGCTGGAGATGTGTGGAACGCGGGAGAGAGTCGGGGATGAAGTTTTTTAATACCCAGTGGGGTTTGCTCAACAGCAGTGCGTACCGTATGTGTCCTGGCAATTGTGACTAGCCCTAACCAAAACCGCAGGCACCTTTCCCTGATCATGCACGTACTCGAGTATGATAATATTATTATCATACCGGGAATTTTCTGACGTTTGCAAACACGACTGCTATGGCTCCAGCCAATTCTTCACCCATATGCAATAGGAGCTGTGTTTGCAAACGTCATAAAATTACGAGTAGATGATGCAGAACCGCGAAAAAACTTTTCTGACAATTTACACTACAATGCTTCGACCCGATATCCTCTGCCTGCGGCTGTTCAGGATTGGTGGTCACCACTATGCAAATCCTCCATTCCCTTAACCGCACTTGCGATCACCATATAGTGACCTTTCAATATGTAATATGTATACCGGATGCTTGCGATTAAGGTTCATTCTATTGTTGTAGGATGTTCGTGGGTGTTTCTTCCATAGCGGAACCGGATGTAGGCACCCGCGGTGCTGCTCCTAAGAAAATATCACATCTTATATGGGGCCTGGCGTATTAGGATTGACACCCTTTCGTTCTAAAAGCATCTGGACCACCCCATCATTCCCAAGTTATGCTGCCCACGAGAGTGGTGTACGGCCAGATTCGGTGTCTACCTGGTCAAGATCGACAACCCCTCACCACAAAGGCACCCCGACTACCCCCTCGTACTCCTACTGAGCTTATAGGAGTAGTGATCGGCCGTATCTGATGTCTAACTGGTCGGGATTGATAACCCGTCGTTCCCAGGCCATCTACGGGGATGACCTCGAAGAGCGGAGATTCGAGTAGAGGCTAGACTATTCATTAGGGGGGGTGGTGTTGTGTGGTTGGGAATAGGGATGATATATACAGGAAATAGTGATCACTTGTACAGTACAAGTACCGGTACTACGACTACCTTGCTCGGCAAGGGAGACAATCACCAACATGTGGGAGCGATCCTCAAGCAACTAGTATGCAGCAGTGATATCCCGATTTATCTACGCGAGGCGCTTCAAGAGGGGAAAACGGAGTTGGCGTGCAGAAGGATGCAGCTCCCTGATCTGACGGGAATGCTGCGCTATGATATTTCTTCGCTACCCCAAGTACTGGTATTCATCCACTCGAGTATATTGATGCACTTGACAAGCGGCCACCGAAACATCTAGTAGAGCTTCTTAAGTCGCAGAGAAATATTGTTCGGGAGGTTCCCGAAGACGCGAATATTCCTCAGAACTTGGATTAGCTGCGTGATGCTCGAGATGTTTAGTTGTCCGCCGGACAAAGGAGCTAGACTGGGGTTGCGGTGGTACAAGTATGGGATGCCACCTCTCAGTTCACTGTCATCAATTTGCTTCAGACTTACAGTAATGCCTGAGTGGTAAGAAATCAGTTGCGATGGGTGATTACTACCGGTAACTTAGCATTTCCAGCATTCACTCCGTGGGAGGGATAATGTGTGATATGCAAATACCGGTGGATTGTATGGTACGGTATGTCAGCCAATCTCCTTGCACTCGATCCTGATCGGAGGCCTAATGCGTGACCTTCCGAAAATTGGTGTTTCAGAGCAGACTCCCAGAGGGAAGCAAAAGTTTTTCCCCCCAACCAGCTTGATCCAACCCATGAAATCACTAATCATTGGCCGAGAGTGTGCCCGATTGGTCAACATTGCTGCGAGTCCAAAGCTTTCTCGGTAGCCTGCGGATCGCCTCTACATTGGTGGTGGATGTCTTGAACAACAGCCCCCTTCTTCCTTCTCTTCTTCCCCCCCCACATTCAATTCATCATGGCGCACCCAAAGGAATACTCGTTGTCAGGATTGTGGGGGAAGTTGGGATTGGATGTTCCGACGTTGGTGTTGATGGCAAAGTACGAGTTATTGCAGTTCCGGTTATAGGATTTCTACACGATGGTGTCGGCTGACAGTTAGTATCGGCAGAGGAGCGCTCCCGTCAGTAATATTCACCGCGGCGTATCAAGCGACTCCCGTGGCAAAAACATATTCAACCCTTGGCTATGTTGTTTCAATCATTGCCGCGTTATCGCTATGCATTCTCCCCCAAGCAAAGCTGGTTCAATTGACGGTTCAAAACTCCGTAATTCCTTCCTGCCCGTCCGAGTAGACATTCCATAATAACTGAAATGGTGCCGTAGATAGCAGTGGCTCTCGCAGCCGCAACATCCTTGCTAGGAGTCTGGACAGCAACTCGTGCGCGAGCTCATTACCCTTCTCCGCCCAGGCAAAGATATAATGCCTCCGCTTCCGCGGTTTCGGCCGCTTGGCTGTTTGTCGTCATCTGGCTGGCCAACCTTTTAAAAGCGAGGATACCTTCACTCGCGCTCCCAGTTATCATGTACACTATATTTGTGTCCATCATTTACACCAATGGTGGACTCTACACGATGCCTCAGGCAATTAATGCGGTGGTCTTAATGCTCAAGTGTTTCTTTACCGGATACGGACTTGCATTCGCTGTGGGGATGATTGTTTTCCCGGTGAATTGTCGACAGATTTGGTGGAAGGTATTTGCGGGGTACCTGTTGACCTCTAAACAGTTATTGGTGGAGCAGGTTTGGACAAGCAATTTTGTTACTTGGCGCGGTGGCTGATTTGGGTTCTAGAAAAACTTCTTGAGACAACATGAGACGATGGGAACGGAAGAGGGTAAAAAGTCTGCCGCTGCGCTTGCAGCTCTCGAGAAAGCACATGCTGATCTTTTCACCAAATTATCGACCGAATTGCCAATGGCGAAGCGGGAGATCGCGTTGGGCCGGTATTTGACGAGCGATCTTCAGGAAGCGTATCGCCTAGTTCGAGCAACTCTACTCCCGTTACAAGGGATGACTGTGATTTTAGATATCTTCAATCGTGCACCTAGGATGGATTCTGAAGAGGATGAAAAGTGCCCTATACCAAGGGAAGAGCAACTACCTGAGGTCATGAAAACCTTGCACGAGCCTTATGAACGGATAGTAGGAATGTGTGGTGAAGCAATCGAGCATGTCCTTCTGACAATGAAACTTAAGTCCCCTCCTAAAAAGCCTGGGGGAGATGAAGAAGCACCGAGTATGGAACCCGGAGAGGAAGGTTTCTGCCAAACGCTTGAAGAGAAAGTGCAAGAATTTTATAACACACGTGCGGGGGATGTGAGAACATATTTCACTCCAAGTAAAGCAGCCAAGACCCAGGACACTGCAGAAGGCATCTCGGCCGAAGTGTATATGGATGAGAAACGCCGCAGCGAGTTATACCTTGTTCTTTTCATGGAATACCTACTCTACAACGCGGCCAAATCACTCTTAGGACTCGCTCGATTCGCTGAGGAGAAGAAGCAACAAGGTGTGATAGACAGTACAAGATTAGTGTATCCTACCGCCAAACGCTTGAAAAAATGGCTGCGCTCTATGGCATCTGATTGTAATGACGACATCGTTGATGTTTCCGATGTTTGTGCAGTAAGGGTTCCAGGGCTTGGCGGGATAGCACCAAAGAAGGACCCTGAGCACTTGCCTGCTAGAAATTCCTTGCAGAAACTCGGGAATCTGATTGCCGTTTTCACGGAAGGTATTAGTAGCAGCGAGAGTGGGTTTGGGCTTAGAGTTGCCTGTGCTACCCTTGCTGTTGCTTTACCCGCTTATTTTGAGGTGACTTACGTTCTACGCTGCAAGAGACTGTGCAAGTGCTAATCGGCATTGAAGTCAAGTTATATTTTCTTTACTGAACAGAGGCTGGTGTGGGGGTTGATAGTAATAGCTATTGGAATGTCTCCTACCTCTGGGGCTTCGGTATGCTGCATTGTTAATTGTCGCCGTGCTTATAAACTGACCATTATAATATTATATAGTTGATAGGATTTGTCGGAAGAGTTGCGGGAACAGTAATAGCTACAGTACTTGCACTGATAAATTGGTATATTGTGGATGGGATAACACCGTTAGCCTCTACGTTCTAACTGTATGTAGAAAATAGCTGACTTGGATGTAGGGGAGTAATATCGTTTCTGTGGTTCTTCGTCGCTATCGGTGAGTAAACCACTGCTCCACGTGCTATCGATAGATAAAACTAACGTATACATAGAGTTTTACTTTGTTATCAAGCACCCGACCTTGATCCAAAGCACACTGACAGCACTCGTTACACACATTATCATCGTCTGTATGAACTCTAGAAACGTCCTCTGGATTCTCTTTTCCACATGAAATCAACTAAAAACCCCTATATAATAGGTTACGAACTCCAGGTTCGCAAAATTGGCAATGAAGTCTCAGCACGAGGTGGTCAGCCCGTCCTCTCCATCAATGAAATCGGACCCCACCGCCTACTCGTAACAATAGGCGGCCTCTGCGTAGCAATGATATTCACAATCTTCCCTTACCCAACCACAACCCGCAGCCTAATCCGAACTTCCGTGTCGTCGTCCCTCTTCCTACTAGCAAGAACATACAGCATTACACTCTCACTTCTCCAATTGAGAATCCACGGTACGGCCGGCGACGAGTCAGACAAAAACTCACCAGGACGAAGGTACGAGAAGGCGCGTGTGAAGCTCCTCACAGAGTCCTTCTTGGCAAACGACTCTCTTCGCTCCCAGATAGAATTCACAGGGTACGAACCCTCACTCCGAGGCCGCTTTCCAAGAGAACAGTACGACGGGGTCCTAGAAGGTGTGCGGAATATAACCAGCTACCTATCCATAATATCCTATGCCTCGAGAACCTTCTCCATGGGTGGTGAATGGGCAGAGGATTTATCAACGCTGCTCAGAAACGTCGATACCCAGATGGACAAAATCACCAGTCTGCTCTGCCTCCTTAGCGCGAGCTTAGCCAGTGGCAACCCCCTGCCACCTAGTCTGAGCCTACCAGCGCCGTTTCGGCTAGCGCGGGCAATGGAAGAAAGGGATGGGGGAGTTAGGTTGGATCATCTCGTTGAGCCGGGGTTCGTGGCGTTCGCCGTTGTGCAGGTCGCTATTGGAGTTATGCGGGATGATCTTGTTCGGGTTATCGGGATGGTCGAGGAGTTAGTGGGTAGGGTGGAGTTTCCGGAGGAAAGGAGCTCTTTGGATGATTTGAAGGTTGAGGTGCCTTGAGCTGGTTCTATTGAATTTTTGGTTTCAGGATTTTTGAGCGGGGGTATGGGATATCACACACCTCAGGAATTTCATTTCCCATAATATAATGAATGATAGGTAAGTGACCTTTTGTGATTATAGTATAGGACAGGATTTATGTTGTATTGGGAGGATGAGTCAAAAATGGAATAAAAGGCAACCGTATCCGCTATCATCACGGGGGACATCATGAATCAGAGAGTCCCAAGTTAGCACCGGTACTCACAGAAGGCTTGTATCCGCCGGTTTACGCGTAATACACTCGAAAAAACACACCGAAGTGCATGGAAACTACTGTAGCAGGGCCCCGCTCGATATAGTACTTCAAGCCGTGGAGTTTCTCACGTAGGCGTTGGTTTACCGCAGCGTCTTTCTCACCGTAGGATTTTAGTCCGTTCAAGTATTTTGCAAGATTTTATTTTACAAATAAATCTGACTCGTTCATACGATCCAGGATCTCAAAGAACCATGAGAGCACACGAAAATGCCCCAACCACACAGTATATATGATAAATAGAAATCATTTCCGGGCCACGAGGGCATCCCCTTAACACGATACACAGAGACACGGCACCTTTCTGACTAAATGGTAGAAAGCGCAAAGCTCGGTCCAAGAGTAGTAGTATCGGTATTAGCACAATTAGCACAATCAATTGAAGAGCGGGGGGGCAAAAAGATGAAAGATGGGAGCCCGCTTATCCCCCCAACGTCATTCTCATGGATAAAACCAAGACAGTTATCATTTGTACGAATTTTCAATTTTGATGTATACAGACATTTTATAGAGAAGGGGCACTAAGTTCGCTACTATCAGATCGAAGTGCATGTATTATACCTGAGTGACATTCCTCCCTGACATCACCAAGAGATTACGGAATTGCGTGCTATGTGGCTTGAGCCCTGCTTACGGTACCCGAGCGCCACCGCACGAAACCGCTTCGGAACTCTCCAGTTTTGTGAACCAATAGTTAATTTACTTCGATTTGAAGGAATGCTACGTACAATATACAGTCTGTTCCTACATCGCGAGGTTCCTAAGTCGCGGGAATTTGGCAAGACTTTTTTTGCAGTCTGATTGGTCAGGATTTGTTTTTGGTGCCTATCCTCTGTGCAGGTACTCGCAGTGCGAGACTCTCGCGATGCTGGAACAGACCGCGAGCCCAGAAGCAGCGACAAATGCCAGACCCTCCGGGGACGCACAGTGTGTTGGGGCGATCGATGTTGTGGAATTTAATCAAGGGGCAATACACGGAGCTAAGGTTTGTTGCCAACCAATATATCATACTCAAATAGCTCCACAGGTTATCACCCTTCTTGGAATTGCAGCAAGTTGAGGTTCCAAATTTAAGGGCCGCCTGGCACGACGGGGTAGGGAAACGCCTGAATGGGCACCGTTCCGCCGGGCCCAATTTACTCACACCTCATCTATCTTCTATTAAGTTTTCCCCATCTACCCAAGCACTTTATATTCACATGCTGTAAGGTTCACGGATGACGTAACATTGTATCCATTAACATCTGATACATAACTGCTTTGGCTCGTTAACCCCAAAGCATGAAAAGGAAAACCTATTATCTACGTCTCCGAAACTTCCCTCCGCCCCTCGCCTTGGTGCCTTGACCTCTGATATTGAGCCTTCGGAAGTTTGCGTTAGCCGTAGCTTTGACTTTCCGCACAACCTTCTTGACAACGGCTTTGCCCTTATCGACCATCGCTTTCTTGCTAGTGCGTTCATCCTCACTTTCGATATTTGATAAGTCTTCGCCGTCGTCATAGCCTGCGGGCGGGAGTTCCGCATTGGCCGGGTCAGGGCGTAGATCTTCCTCCTGCGGCATTTCTTGTGGTTTTGTAGTGGTAGGGCGCACTATGTTTGTCAATTTACGAACCAAAATATTTGTATTTGGGGAGGTATAATTACTAATGGTTCGCCTGGTCTGCCTCTTAAGACCTTTCTTTTTCCATTTTGGCTTATCTTTGTCCTCCCCCTCATTTTCGTCTACAATTGCCTCCTCCGCGAAAGCCCCAGGCGGTAAATCGCCTATGCCAACCTCCAATCCCTCGCCCCGTTGCTCGGGGGGTGGAAGAGATGGCTCAGCATCCAGCGCCTCCATCTCTTTCATAGCCTCCTCGTCATCGGCGAACTCTTCTTCTATCGCTTCATCCTCCATTTTGCGGAGTTCCGCCACCATGCTGCCCAGTCCTCTGACAGGCCGCATAGGCAACGGGACGGGAGGACTCTCCACGGGCGGTTGAAACCTGGAGCTATCTCTTCGTAGAAATGTCGGCGTAGTAAATTCCTCTTCCCCACGCTTCTTTGCGCTGCCCACCGATATCTCTTCCGCCTTGCGTTTTCGTGGAGTAGCGAACTCCCCTCTCCCATTTGCCCCTCCTTCATTGGTGTCACCGGTCTTTCGAGTTGAAACGGGACTGGCGGAAACTCTGTCCCTTGCTTTCTTAGGCGTAACCTTGATGTCCACAAAACTCTCAAACAACCCAAGAACGTTTCCAGTTTTCTGCGGTGTAGGGCCAACGCTATCCCTGGGCCGGTTTCCAAACAAGCGTGTACGTCTTAAAGACAACGGTGAATCATAAATCTCCTGCTGATCCGCTGAGGTTAACTGTGGCTTCGTGGGGGTTTTGAATATATCCGCCGCTTTTTTGCGAGTGCTTGCCGTAGATTTGTCTGACCTTGCGCTTGCGAATGGGTCGCGAATCCCCTTTGTAGTGGAAGGAGTACGTTCTGGTTTCGGTTTGGGATTTGAGGTGGTGGGACGAGAGGCGGCGGTGGATGTGGAGGTACGCAGTTTGCTATATTCTTTATACTTTGCTGATATACGGGGATCCCTCTTGACTTCCTCGCGAGAAGGCTTCCGCCTATGTTCTGCCGCAAAAGAATGCTCCCATTCCTTCAACTCTGCGCGGAGTTGCTTCGCTCGATTATCATCCACGGTGGGCATTATTGGGGAAAATCGTGTTCGTTTAACTATGCAGGGGAGGCAGGAGACGGGGCGAATTCATAAAGACGTATCTTAGTGTTTGCCAAGAATCAAACAATGGCGAGGGTGAACGCGCTTCTTTCAAGCTAACCTAATTCATTACACTCCCTAAGTCCTAAAATTTCCTGAAATAGACACGCCAAGCTCATCGAATTTTGGGCTTAAAACACAAGTTCTTGGCATTATCCCATCCAGACGCGGGTCACTCTTCCTGCATCGGTACTCGTACTGTACGAGTAACCGGGGGCTGCCTTACTATGATATGTGATTTGGTGCCAAGAGTTCGACAGACTTTTTTCCAACCCCTAAACTAGTATAGATACTCTACGAATTGGGGATCATCGTGACTTATCGTCATGCTTAAGCAATCATTTCCTCTACGAGTACTATCATCCGATGCCTACCCAAGTAGTTCAGATGCCAAGACTTCGCCAAAGCTTCCCAGGGCGGAACCAAGGGTGTATCGCCTTGCATAGAGTCATGCTCGGACTCAATACTAAATAGGGTGAGAATTTTGGAGGTATCAAGGGCAAAAACGGCTGAGAAATGCAGTAGAAAGTTCTGTGCCGTACAAGATCCTCACAAAGCTCGGAGAGTGTGCCTGTGAGGCTGTCGGTGCAAGCATCCTTTGTCCAGCCTCCCCCTACCACATGATAGACGGGTAAGCGCTGAAGGCGGACACCCATCCTCAGACAATCAGAGCGGGGTTCGGTTCAGGGTTAGCTATTATTCTCAAGATAGTCATAGTACCCTACGCTTCTCTATATAATGGCGCTTCCTGCCACAAGAATAACCAGTTTTCCACACCACACAACACACAGAACAGCCTTAAAATCTCCCATATCCCAACTCTTGTTACCTCCCTAGAGCTTATCAAATACCCACAAAGACACCACTGCCCTAGACAAAATGCCCCACACACGCATACTTGTCAAATTAAATTCGAACCAATCCATCAGCGCGCCGTGCCTATTACCTCAAACGCTCAATCCTCGAGCTCAACTCCTATCATACGCTAAGTCGAAATTCCGTACAAAAGCCACCAGAGTATTTCTTCCAGGCGGTGAAGAGCTCCTTACACCACAAGCTGTCCAAGAAGTCCTTGATTTATGCCACGAGCGCCGTACCGTGGGTCCAACCTTTCTCCTCTCCGCCGGTGAGCCATACGTCGGTGCGCTAGCGCCCCCATCGCCCGCACGTGCTGAGATAAGAGCATGTGAAGTACATGTGATAGCGGAAGATTCATACATCGATCCACAGGCTATCACACAGTTGGAAGCTGCCGCCAAGTTGCCTGGGATGGTGCGCGCGGTCGGGTTGCCGGATTTACACCCTGGCGGGAAGTTCCCGGTTGGCGCGGCGTTCGTCTCGGAGCGCTTTATCTACCCATCTTTGGTGGGTAGTGATATCGGGTGCGGGATGACTCTGTTTCTGACTGGCCTCACTCGGAAAAAATTGGAAGACCAAACCGGTATGAGAAGGGTAGCTGAGAGTTTGCGGGGCCTGGAAACTGCATGGAGGAGCCCTCAGGAGAGGACGGCCTGGCTCGGGAACTGCGCTGCTGGCGACGAGTGGGATAGATCAGTTGGAACTATCGGTGGTGGGAATCACTTTGCCGAGTTTCAGATCGTGGAGGAGGTGGAGGAGGGGCACGGGTTGTGCTCGGGGATTGTGGTACTATTAATCCACTCTGGGTCCAGACGCTTTGGGAAACATATCTTGGAGACCTTCACTAAAGACGACAAATCTGTTTCACTGGCCTATGGCGATCCGAAAACGGCCGAATATCTAAAGCTCCACACACAAGCCTGCAATTGGGCTAGTAAGTCAAGGGATTTAATTGCTCTACGAATCTTTGAATGTATAGAAGGGAGTCGCTGGGCACTGCCGGAAACCATAGACCTGGATACCGCAGCGCATTTAAATGCCAGGCTACAGGGAAGGAGGGTCTTGGATATCCTACACAATAGCGTAACAGCAACTCTCTGGCCCCCACACGCTGAAGCGCAATACCAGAAGCCCATGTTCATCCATCGAAAAGGTGCCGCGCCTGCGCCGCCAGGAACACCCTTCCTTCCACTCCCTGGGAGCCGAGGCACACCAACCCTGCTTGTTAAACCACTCTTCTCAGAACTTAACCAAAACGGATTCAAAAATGGGCTCTCGCTAGCACATGGCGCTGGCAGAATGCTGTCAAGAAACGAAGCCCGCGGATTATCACGAAAATACAACAACGACGTTAAAGTGCTCACAGAGATGAAGCCGATGGAGATGAGGGGTGGTGGGAAGGGAAGGGTTGTGACTAGTGGTTATGTCATTTGTGATGAAAAGGAGTTAGTCTGGGAGGAGGCAGTGGAGGCATACAAAAATGTTGAGATTGTGGCACAGGATTTGGAGAAATGCGGGGCTGCGAAAGTTATGGGGAAGTGTGTTCCAAAGGTAACCTATAAAGTTAGAAACGATTCCTTGTCGTAAGAGTAGCCTTATTACTCATTACGGTGAGGTTACAATAAGGGGAAACACCATCAATAACCATTCGCAGAACCACAGGTGCCACCAACTAAGTGCCGGTCGTGTGAAATCAATGAAAGGTAGTCCGTCCGTCTCTTCTCCCAAGCAAGTATCGCGAGAAAAGCCCTTGATCAATAATCCTTTCCCAATAACCCGAGAATACAATTGCTAGGGAAACACAGAGCCCAGGCTCAGACCTCATTGACGATAGACTCCTAGCATCGGTGTTACAATATGTGTATCGTACTTACTCGAGAATTTGATGGGTGCCGAGCACTGGAGGCCGTGAGCACCATCATCCCTCTCGGAGAAAATACCGGACCCAACCCGAGCGAGAGGCCCTGACTCATTCGCGCCGTTCATCACCCTATCCTGCTCGAAAAGCTATCATTTAGCGCAATATCATACTTAGTTGGGGAAATGCGAGCAAGCCCAGAAACGAATAGCCTAGAAACTAGCGAACCTTCTCTTCCGCTGCCAGATCTGAGTTCAAAGAATCGCTTTAGCCTACGGTAGTCGATGTTCGATAAAGCCCTCAGAGTCCCAGTTTCCCCACGGCATACCGGTAGTCTAATACGGCCCTGCTTCCCGATCATGTCTACAGAATGCTCAGCCTACTGTATTCTAAGCCGATCAATTGGCTTATTCTATTCAGTCCCTCAGGGCAGTGTACTAATACCAGTACATATGCCTTCCCTTTTTACAGAGAAGCTCATATAAAAACCTTCCCTGCCAGAACTACGCCGTGTGCTAGTAGCAACCCGGTCAGGCTTCTCGAAGCGAAACCCCGATCAGAGCAAAGATAATATCGGTGCTAGCACCTGAAAGCAAACGGGTATACAATAATATGACTAGAGGCTTGCCCAGGCAATAAGTACCCGGAAACAAGGGATTCGCAAAATATATGGGAAAAAGCCTTGCATATCTGAGCGCCCATACAATCTTGCGACCCCTGTTTCCGGATACCTATTACCAAAGGGATGTGTAATCTCTCGGCCCCAAACGCAGCACTCCCCTTCCACTCGTGAGCAGAGACACCGGTGGAGCACAGGTGGCATGCAATCACGTTCCCCGATACCATGCTGGGAACCGCAGAAAGTTGTTTTAAGCGTAATTTCTCACCCAGACGTAACCCTGACAGATCTCTTGCAGCAGCGCACAAGGAGAGGGGAGCATGGTGTTGAAATCTGCATATGATTCGGTCATTCAAATTCTTCCTATCATACCTTTGGCGACAAGTCATGGTATCGTAGCGAAACCAGTCAACAAAAAACATGTCCACTCAGATCTGAAACAGGGACTGATAAGCCGTGTAAACCGTGTGAGCCCACCTTTGTTACCTTTCCCATTTTTCCCACGTAATACTTGCAGTCATATTCTGCAATGGAGCGGAGAGGAGGGAAATAGCCCCCTCCATTTGGTCTACTAGTAGGGTACGACGTGAGGCGTTGATAGTTCAGGTGGGTTTTCGCATCCCAATATGACCCACATAGTTTTCTCTAAGCCACGATTATTCCGAGCTTGATCATGATACCTCCACGATCATGCATCGCCCGAACGTTGCTGCACCCGATGCAAACCTCAGCCATGGGGTGCTAATAATCGGTGTTGCCTGGGTTTGAGGACACGTGATTGGCTATGGTACCTGATTACGAGAGTGCTGGGACAGTTGAAGTTTCGGTTTTCCGGGTGACAAATTATGAGCCCCGGGTAACATCTTACATTTCCAGTCCGCGCTCGGTAGATCTTTACGCGGGGCGCGTCTCCCGATCCCCAACTCACAAAAGCGCATCCGAAAATGCCTCTCGATAAAGGAAAATCGAAACTTCCCACCTTCTTCAGGCCTAAATTCCCCTGGGCCACGCCAAACCCCTCATCACAGCAAACCTCTGATCCTTACGAGCCACTCCCACAATCCACACGACCGCAAACACCCCGAATATTAGCTGTCGAGATCCCCCTAAATGTGCTCCGGCCGGTTGCGTTCAGAGTTTTTACAAAGAAACACAACTTGACACTCAAGTCCGATGCGCTAGCACTATTGTGCTCTTTTGTCGGGCGGCGGTGTGGCGCCGAGTGGAGGGATAGCGGTGCGGGAGAAAAGCTGCTGGACGAGGTAGCCCGGCAATGGCGACGCAATGAGGGTGCCAATGGGGTGTTAGTTGATGGAGGGGAGGGACTGAAGAGTGTTATAAGGGGGCTGGAAGTCGGTGGCGATTCAGTGGGCCTGAGTAGGGAGAAAAGTTTCGATATAACTGAGGTACCGTCGAGTGCGTTGTACGGCGGCGGGGCGGGTATGGATGACATTGCAGCAGCAGCGGATGCTGGCGAGCTGGAGGATGTAGAGCCTTGCGCATACCTCAAGGTTATCGATGCATTTTCGCAACCCAAATTCGCTTATAACCCACTCAAGAAACAGTTCGAGAAGTAGGTCCCTTCACTACCTTGCATGGGTAAAGAGGTTAATCTGTCAATTAGAGCGCCAAAACCATCGTTATTACCCCCTCCACAGACAAAGACTCAATTATTTCGAACGAGATACAATCTTCTACACCAGCGTCTTCTCCGGACGGAAACCTTTCAGCTTCCAACATTCTCAGCAGCTTCCAGCTCCGCTGCCAAAGCTGTAAACAGATTGACCCCGATATCTAATCTCCTCGGCCGCTCAGGCCAAAGCTTTCTACTATTCGGTATGCTTGGAGTAAGCCCTTCTGGGTTGCTCATCCTCCTGGACCCCTCGGGAGAAATTGTTCTCGATCTATCCATTGCGACAGCAATCCCAGAAGACGGGTCCTGGTTTACGCCAGGCTGCTTCTGCATTTTGGATGGAGCCTTTGAGGAAACTGGGAAGTTTACGGTTTTCACAGTCGGCCAACCATGTGCCGAGCGACGGGCGACGTCGGTAGAGGTATTTGGCCATGTCGACTTTTTGGGTAATGGTGTTACATTGGATATGTCAGTTAGTTCTGGTGGTCAGCAAGGGCGTATACTGCGGAAGGCGGAGAAATCCCTAGAACACGTCAAGTATCTCTTTATCGGAGAAGTGGAATTGGATGGTAAAGGCACGTTAAGGGCGCTAAGGAAGGTGTTTTCAGAATATGAGACGGAGCCACCACTAGTAGTCGTACTCATGGGAAACTTCTGCAGCGTAGCTATGGGTTCTAGTGGTGGTAGTGTTGGATATAAAGGTTCGTACTGCTTTGTCATATTTGGGTGATAGTTACTCACGGTGTCACCAGAATACTTTGACCAATTGGCCTCCCTCCTTCAAGACTTTCCAACCTTAACCTCCTCAAGCACCTTCATCTTCGTACCTGGTGATAACGATCCTTGGGCCTCCACCTTCTCTGGCGGCGCCTCGACTACTCTCCCCCGAAAACCCATCCCCGAGATCTTCACGACAAGGATCAAGCGTGTGTTTACACAATCCCGCGGCCCAAATTCCGCCATCTGGGCCAGTAACCCCTGCCGAATAGGCTACTTCACGCAAGAAATAGTAATGTGCCGCGATGACATTTTCAGCCGCTTCCAACGCAATGCAATCAATTTTAAAAAGTCCGACCACCCAATGGAAGACGCACTATCGCAGCCAGAGGCAACAGGAGATGAGGGTGAGGAGATCGACATTAAGACCAAGAACGTGAGGAAATTAGTCAAAACGATAATAGACCAAGGTTTCCTATCCCCATTCTCCATCCCCACTAGACCGATTTTATGGGATTATTGGCATACTCTTAGCCTTTACCCGCTACCTAGTGCTGCAAGTCCCCCCTGAACCTCCATCTTTTCTTTATTCGCTTGGAGGCACAGCTAACAGGACAATAGCTTGTCCTTGCGGATCCGAGAATGCAGCCATCTGCGATTACGTATGAGTCTTGTCATGTAATGAACCCTGGAAAACTGGTGCAGAGGAGGATGGCTCGGTGGGTGGAGTATTCGCCGTCAATTGGGAAGGGGAAGGTGTGTGAGGCCGGGTTTTAAGAGAATTGTAGTTTATAATACCATGGCGTCTGTGAGGGCATAATATCTTAGATAATAGACGGGAGCCTTTGTCGGGTTCTGATTTTGCGCTGCGATTTGACACAGTTGGGTTGGTTTTTTCTTTCACGATAAGTGCTAGTGATGAATTTGTGGTGGCTGGGAATTATGATCAACAACTTTTGCAACGAAAGGTGGAGCCCAGCATTTGCCTAGGGGTACCAGTAGTGGATATACAGCATCTCGGTTATGTGCATTGGTGGAATAAGTAAATACTGGATGGCAAAATAGTAGTGTATTTACAAGTACTCTCTACTCGAGTACCATACGCCAATTGCAAAGATAAGCCGCTGTAATTGCCCCAATCCAACGCACAACTCTTTCTATGCTTGTGGCATCCGGCTTGAGAGTCGAATACACGAGACCATCATAAACCATGAATATGACTTGTGAATATGACTCGTGTCGCAGAACTCTTCATCTATATGCAAGCCTGTTAGCGATGAAGATCGAAGATGCCGGCCGTCGTGCCCCCCATGGTGGGCCAAGATATCTAGGGATTGAAAGCTGGATTATACGCCCTACCGTATAAATGCGCAAACAGATTCTCACAGAGTTCGCAATTCTCGTGTGGTGGCTCGATATTATTCTCATTGTTCCTGGCAGCCTGGGTTTGAGCACGCGGCGCTTGGCTGTATTATGTATGAGTGATTCCCTTTATGATTCTGGACACCACTTGGAATCAACCCTCTGGGAATCATCGGTCCAAAAGGTAGGTAAGAGTTTACTTTTTCTTTCCTTTCTCTGTGGCATGAAGACCGAGGACTGTGATTGGGTTTTTCGGAAAGATAAATAATTAGAACATATGTTGTGACTATCTGTATCGGAGAGTTGAACTATGGCGGGAATTATGATACATAGCAGGATTATGCTCATGAACGAGAGAGATATATCATAGGCGCCGCGTTTTGGGTGTGGCTTGAAGGGGGTTTAGTCCAAGAACTACTCGGAAGTAGAAGATGGGTGTTAGCACCGGTGTAGTCTCCACTATGGTAAGTATAGAAATTAAGTAACTGCAAGTATTGAACCCTGAGGTTTCAAACATATTTTCCTTCACATTTCTGATTCCGTTCTTTCAAAATGTAAGGTAGAAGTCAACTCTGGTGTATGTCAAGAAGATTTGGGTTCAGAATTTTTAAAACTTATTATATTCAAGTTGTTAAAATCTCTTCTCTGTTGCTTGGTGATGTCTGCAAAGCTCAAAAGGTGCTTCAATATTTGTATCCTGTGTCTGAGTGTTCATGGACTATAATTATTTAATTCTCATACAGCAAATTATCCCTCTATTTTTTTTATATGCAAACATCCAAGAGTCTAATATGTGTGAATAACTTTTCTCTGAAATGCTAGTAGTCTTTTGGGAACTATCATTCCATTAATCTCTTCTGATCATAAAGTGATTAGCATTTATGTCAGGCACCTATGTACGATGCAGGCTTACAAGACAGCCCACCAGCACTTGAAGCATCCTCTGCCTATTAGGTCCTCCAAGTCTGAGGGATCCTGTTTTCAGAATCAACCCACATACAGTGGCCATCAGATGAGTATTAGTGTCTAACAATATCCTATGGCCTTATGATACATCAATTACGAGGGCTAGCCATATTGGTGGATGCCTGATTGCTACCTTGATATCGGAGGAAGAACTGATTCATTCATTCGTGTTTTAGGAACTTTACGGAATGCACCCGGCAGATGTAAAGAAGATTAGTATGTTACCCTCTCTATCTCCGAGTCATATATCAACCTAAATATTAAGGCTAACTTCTTTAGCCCACAAGAAAACAATCAACATCCTGAATCGTCATGCCACAGTACGCGCCAATACGGAGAAAACTGGCGCCGACGAGTTCTATGGCAAATTTAATGCTTTCATCAAATGATCCAAAAGATTGGACTCCAACCAGGACTATTTAACTGCGGGGCCTCCTAATGCAACTCGCACTGCGTACAATTTGCTACTTGATTGTCCAAGATATAAGGATAGTGCATAAGGTAATGTTACAACAAAGGGCATTCTACAAGAGAGATGATGATAATACTTGAGAAGATTCAGAGTGCAGGGGGGGACAAGAATCAGGGTACGCAGTGGGGAGGTAGTTATTCCGGAAATGAGACGAAGGAAGGACAGCGGGGATAGAGCGGGAAGGAGCGCCGATACGATTTGATGATATTGTACCTTCTGGCAGGGATCACTTTCCAACTTAGCAATTATGCAGAGTATGCCACAAACACACTAATATATGCCCTGCCCAGTCATCGCAACTGCATGACGGATGCTGTGAGAGATTGGTGGATTTGGGAACAGTGGGGGGTGGCAGTAACTGTTCATCAACAATCACTCGACCTCTATAACAATGCCGTTTTCCCACTGACTTCCTTAAATACCACGGATAGCTGCTATGAATTGCACTTTTCCGGAGCTAGACAAATAATTCATAAAATTTACAATGCTTCCTATACACACTCACCTGCCCGCGGCTGATGCGGCAGATATCAGAATTCACTTACATTGCAAGCTCAAAACCTCTCTTGCGCCCGCACACCTTCACCTCCTCCTACTCCAATTTCTCTACTTGCATCTCCCGCTGTTCCATTCTCCTCCACTCTCTATTAATCCCTACCATCTCTTCGCGCATAAACCTACCCTCCTCGTACAGTGCAGTGGTGCAGTGCAGTACCAACTTTTCCTCCCGATCTCGTGGTCCGCTTCTGGTGTGCGGTGTCGTGAGTTTTGGATGGGTGGGGAGGGGTATTTTGATTGCACCGTCTGTATATAGCCTACAGTTGCGTCCGGGCTTTTCCGATCAGCCTTGGGGAGTGCTTGGTTGCTGGTTTCGCCCCCGACGCCAATGGGCTAGATGGTGGGTGGGTTGGTTATCTGGAGGTTTTCTCGCCTGTCGTACCCGCCCTACACCGGTGGGGGTTGAGTGGGGATTCTGAAACTCTTTTATGCCGACCGCTCGGCTTACAAGTGGTGGTGGTGAGGTTATCTGATTGAACGGATCAGGTGGATGGGCCATCCGCCCCGAGGACAGGGCGAGGATTTTGGTCGGCTGCTCTCCTGAAGGTTGGGGAGGATATTAAGCTTTATTAGAGGCCCTTTCTATCTCTTAGGATGAGGAATGCACTGTCATTTGTGGGGAGATCTGCTGTGCTTTCCACTAATGGGTGGGGGATCTGGGAGAGGTTGGTGGCTCAGGGTGTGTGCTTCAACATTCACCAGAGTGGTTTTTTTTGAGCGAGTGATTAATTATGATCTCAGTTCTGAACGCGTGTTTCCCCATCGGTATCTTTCCTATAATGAGAAGGCGCGTGGCGCACTCTTAACTCGACTTGAGCCGTTTTCTCCACACCCCCTATCGGGCTCTAGTAGCTATAATAGAGTCTTCGGTAGTGAGAAATACACGTGAACTTGAACATCTATCATACCTACCTTCTGGCAACATAAGCCGCCCAGAATTCAAATCTCCCCATCTATCAAAGGATATACAATCTCTGCTCGGTCCTATTCTATCCCAGGAACCCCTAGGACGATGCGGGGTTGGAGGTGAACAGGCCTCCAACTGTTCCCCGAGACTAGGGGGGCTGGAGTCGAACGGAATCTCCAAGCAATCCATCCGGTAGAGTAACATCCTAGCTTAGACGAAGAAATAAACCCCTCAAGTATCATCAACTTGCAATCGTAGAGAATGTTGTCCAGAATGGGATTTGCCACGGTCATAGCTGAAGCGGGAAAGAGGTCAAACTCCGAAATATAAGTACCACGGCAATTCTGTTATCCTACTTTCACTTCAAGCAAGTGCTGCGCTCGTAACATCCCGACACCTGCGGATGCAACGGCCATTGCACTCAAAACAGCGGCGGGAGCCTCAAGATTCTTGTGGCGTGCAATAATAGCAGTCGTGTACAGAATCGTCGGGATATTACGAGTAGACCGCATGATCAGCCATCAAGGCGCAGCATAGCTTGTCTGTAGTCTAAACGAACTATACCTCAATAATCGTGCCCAGGATGCGATCGTCTCATTTCCCAACATAATTCCACAAATCCAAATGCTTATTAGATACAACTTCAATTGCTGCACGGATAGCATACCAATTGATCATTGCGGCCGTCACTCCGCGGTTGCTTAGACTGCTGTGGTTCCCCGTCGTTGTTATCGTATTTACAGACGCCTGCTTTGCACCGCCTCTATCTCCTTCTGTCCCAGGGAATCCCACGTCATCCCCAGTAAAGAAAGATCTGTGGAGTTGTGGCTGGGTGATCCGACGAGGAGGCAAAGCGAACGGGAAGCTTTTTTGTGAACATACCGCCTGAAGTTATGTGGTGGTTATCGGACTGGTTCGTTGGCAGTTCTCGAGGTTTGCTACTGGAGTGGTGGTTGGATGGGAATACGAGTATGATATTACCGGTAACGCTTGCTTATATCATACATCCGTCCGTCCAAACATTCCTCGAAACTGGTCAAGTTACACCAAATCACTCGAGTATGATACAGACAGTTCTTACTGGCACCCGCCGGTGCCGCATTTCAATGACGTCATGCCGTGCTAAGCTTTTACATATACAGATTGGTTGATTTTCAAATACTTCCTTTGTCTGTCTGTCGTGAGCTCCATCCACTTGTTCACGTCTCCTCCCTTTTATTTTTCCTCCCCTTCAAGCGGAGGAACTTCCGAGACATAGTGCTATCCATAACGCTTCGAAGACCGAAAAAAAAAAAAAAAAACTTGGTATCATACATGGAAAAAAAATCATGGGTGGAAATTCCGAGCTTATTTCAATCAAATATATTATCCTGACATGGCGATTCCTCCGCGTTGCATGAGACTCTATATAAACGCGAGTTTAATTTACCTACTATATAAAACTGCGATCCTTGGTGCAGTTGTCGCAACTTCGACCCGATTTTTCTTTCTTTCCCTAGTTTTTAAATATAG